TGGACTTATCGAACCGCCGATGAGACCAATGTAACTATCGACATTTGCTACCTTAAAAAAAAAAAAAATTTTCCCGGGGCGTATGATAATTTTTCGGCGCGTACGATAATTTCACGCCCCTGTATCTATCAGACGAACTAAAGTCTCTGGGATCACTGTCAGTACCGTAAAATTTTCGGGTTCTCAGTAAAGAGGAGGGGATTTGAACAATGTGTAAAACAATCAATGATCCCAGAGACTTTAGTTTGTCTGATCGACACAGGGCCGTAAAATTATCGTACACACAGACAAATTATCGTACGCACAGAGAAAAATTTGGAATTTTAGGAATTTTGGATTTGACACTTCTGATTTAAACATTTGTAGAATTTTTTACATTTTCAAATCTGCAAAAAGAGTTAAAATACCAACTTTTGCAAACTTGATGACCTGCTTTTTTTTTTTTTTTTAGGTCCTCAGGTCCTTTTTTGTCCTTTTCTTTTTCCTATTTTCTATCTTTCTAACTGTATTTTTCAAGTTTTTCCTGGCTTTTTTGGCTTTTTATTGGTTTCCGAGCTATTTTCAATTGTTACCTGGCTCTAGTCACCAAAAAATAGTCCAACTGTGTACACTAGAGTGCGCTGCAACCGACAACCTGTGGGGAACAAGGTTAACGGAAAAGGTTGATCTGGAGATTTACGCGATAGTCGTCAATTAGAGTAACAAAAATATATAAATTTATTAACAAGATACAACTAAACTCTTGGACGCCATATATAGGACTAACTTACATTTCGACCGTTACGTTCAACTTGGGTTTAGTTAGTCTAGTACCCGCATAGGGNCAACTAAACTCTTGGACGCCATATATAGGACTAACTTACATTTCGACCGTTACGTTCAACTTGGGTTTAGTTAGTCTAGTACCCGCATAGGGAGGAAGGGCGCCAGTGTGCCGCGTCGATACACTAGGCACGTATCGCCACAAACCGAATCGCGAAACAAAAAACAAAATCAACTTGTTATCGTTAACAACTTCGATATTTACATATCGAATTATTGTTAATTACATCCAAGCTGAATTTTGGATCGCACAAGCCAAATTTTGGATCATACAAGGCTTCAAATTATGTGACGCATACGATAATTATCGTACGAATGGGATCGCTGAAAACAATGTGTAAAACAATGTGTTTGTTCCATGTATTTCTCCGCAGCGCGTGGTAGGGGTATTATTTCTCCTCTATCGCGCAGCTAACCTCGGCTTCCCTCGGCTTATTTCGGTTTCCCGACACACCGACACGTAACATTTCGTTGTGTGCGAGGCGTGCTGGGCTCGAGAGAAGGGGTAGAAATCATTAGTCTGCACACCGGCATCGAGTAAGTTTCAGTTTATAGAATTGCTCACGGTATAGTGACGCCGCATGGCTTGACGGAGATTTTCTTGAAAACTCACGTTGCAGTCAACGTGTTAATCACGCCCAATGATAGAGCTTAGATTGTCAGTCTGCCTGGATATGATTGGCTGCGTAGCAGTAGTGAGTACGCAAGAGAGAGGCACCTTAATGATTGAGTATTAGTAAATGCATGTAATCTGTAGAGGGCACTACAAGAGTAATTCACAAGTCGTCATCTATCTAAAAAGAAAGAAGAAATACATACATAAAGAAAATATATTTCCTTTAATTTAAATGTGATAAACATAAACATAATAATAATTGAAAAATTTAAAAAGAAAGAGATATCATGACAACTACATAAACTAAACAGATAAATAGAAGGTTTTGAAAAGGGAGATACGGTTATACGGTGATAAAGGAACAGAGAGGACGGTTGGAAAAGAAGAATTCAAATAGGAATTAGAAAATCTTGATTATGAATTAAAAACAATTAAAAACGTGAATAGAGAAGTGAATGTGTTAGTTATAAACTTAAATAGTCGTTTCTTTGTTCACAGGTAATAAATATTCCTTATGTACATAGTGAAAATATTCATTGAAAATAATTAATAAAACTTAACCTTTGTTCACAGAGAAATAATCTTTCCTTTACTACTATTACCTAAATATAATAGAATAATTGTCTTATATATATATATATATATGAAATAAAACTTAAATTGTTTTTATCACATTTAGGTGATGTATGCTATATGACAATCATAAATTTTAAAGGATATCTGTTCTAACGATTACGAAATTAGTTAATTGCAAGTAATGAAAAACATAATCAAAAGTAGAGCACAATGAAATATATACATATATATATATATATACATATAATTTATTATTAGTATGGTTAAAGGTGCATACATAAACTGAAATATGTTTCTCTATAAACAAAGATTAAAATTTTTAACGGAAGTATACTTTCGTTACATACATTTAAATATATCTTATTATTATGTACATTGAATTTATTCTGATAATTCTTTTTTTTTCTCTTAGGATACATTGGAAGTTTTGAAAGAATTGTCAATATTTTTTACAGAAAACATATTAAATGATCGTCCTTATTTAAGAAATAAAATTAAAAGAAGAAGTATACTATTAACATTGATTTTTTATCGTTATTGTTAAAATTTACAACTAATAATATTTATATCAGATGTATATTAGCGATGAGTACTTCAGTTCAATATATGATTGATCGCTTATTATACATATATTAGAACTTTTTAATTATCTCAATTGGAGATAACAAGTTTGCATTAAATGCACAGAGAAAAAGAGAGACAGCCTTTTATAACTGTACAATTTTTTACTATTCTCAGTTGAGTATTGATACACTTTTCAGTCAAATATTTTAAATGAAGTTTATGTGACACGTTGAATCCTAAGTCATTTTTGTCGAGCATTCCGTTTAGGCCACGATGATCTACCAGCTATAGAAAAACAAGACCGTTTGCCATTGGCAACTGACATGACTTGAACGAAAAGTTTAAGGTCAGTTCCTAAAAACCAGCATGTCATTTAAAATGTTAACTTATTTAAATAATAATATTTAAATTTTAATGAAATATATAGCAACTACTGCATATTGATGAAGTCTGTTTATCAAAGGCTGGCATTAGATATAATGCTAAGAATTATGCTTCAAAAAGCCACTTTGTAAAGATTATACAAGTGGATGCAGAGTCAACATAAATATATAGAAGATGAACAATTAGCACCTTCACACATTTAAAAAGATGAGTAAATTGCAAGATACACTTATTTTATTCAGGTAAGTTGAAGTATTTATATTTTAGTAAAAAATCATTCACATTTGTAATTATTTATTAAAACTCTTTTATTAGGTACATTTTAGATGAATATTGCGCTAAGAGGAAAATCATTCTCGTATGGTCTTGTATAGATATAGTAACATTAAGTGAACCTATAGGTGGAACATCAAATCCTATAGAAATGCACGCTCATTATCATAAAAGATATGTTGGCGATATGCTTACTTGGTTGCATCAAGCGATTTCTATTGAAAAGGAAAACATATTAATTTTAATTAAGAATTCCAATAAAACTGATCAGAATTTGCTAATAATAACTATACTTTTAATAATTTGCTGTATACAATTATTAGGAATATTTATTCTAAATGTATCAGATCAAATTAAGCAATGTGTAAGTAACATTACAGAAGGATTTTCTCATCCACTAAAACAGCAGTTGAAACTCGATCTATTGTTTTATATTTCATTACAACTCTAATAAGATTGTATCATGCTATGATTCAACAAATTATACTAAATAGCGTTCTAAACCCAATATTGTATAATTTTTTATTACAGTCAAGACAAGTTTTTTGAGCAAATTATAAAGACAAATGAGAACAGAGAGCTTTTGGAAAACGAGTTAAACCTTTAAAAAACGATTTAATATCGTCACTATCTGTTTCAAGATTATTATACGTCTTGAATAAAATTCTATTCATGGCTAGCATTGCCGAAGATAGAGTAAAAGATATGCTTCAAGTAAATACAATAAGTATTGACATAATAATATGTTCACTTGTGTTAGTATTAACAATAATTATGTTTTTACAGATAATATCGTGTATTATCAATGTGTTATTAAAAGAAGTTAATGAAACAATTTTAAGATTACCTACGGTTGATATAGCTGCGTATCTTCTTAATTGTATGCATCAAATGCAATCAGCATTAGGATTATATGACTATATGGATCAAAGATTAGATAAAGATTGCATGTAAGCGATTAGTTCTGATTTAAATTTTAATTAAAAATTTTATCATTTTCTTATGTATTAATTTTTTTTAATTTATCGAATATAGGTTTAATCAATATTCAAATTGATACGCTTATATTGGAACAAACTAGCTCTTAAGTCGCAAACTTAAATCTCGGATCAATTTATACCATTTTACAAAGATATGAACACGATTTTCTATCTGATGTTCTTGAAATTGATTTATTAAGCGTTACGAAGTTCACATTAATAAATAAATCATGTTTTCTGAAATATTAATCAATATAATTGTATTAAATAATTTCCCATTATACTAAATAATATAATTTATTATTCTAACACATTAACATATTTGGAGTAGTTTCATTTAAAATAAATTGGAAGCATTTTTAATAATGCCGGATGTATTATTTTTACCTCAAATAAATCTATTACAAAGCTACAATCATCACGAGATTTTCAAGAAATGTTTATTCGTAACGAAGTAATTGAAGCTATTTACAAACATCTTTACGAAGCTTTAAGATTTAAGATTTATTTAAAAAATAAATGTTAATTTCCAAATAATTGTGACCTTGGATATTGAATATATTTAAAAAGAATATATGTAATTAACTTGTAATTATTAAAATAATTTATATTATTCTTACAAGTGTATAAAACCAAAAATGCGAAAGAATAATTAAAAATTAGATAACAAAACATTTAAAAAAAGTTATATTTTGGTGCTTGTGTTCGATATTATGTTTGTCGATTGGACAATACTTTCATTCGCTTCGAGTTTCGATCTTGCTATTGGTTTGTTCGGGTATACTCAAGGTTTAGTAGCGGGGATAGCGTGGCGCGCGACTCGTTTTGCGATTGGTTCAACGTTCTTCGTCCAGTTACTGTGCTGTCGTCGGTAGGAACGCACTAGTAATGTTTATGTCTTTCTCTCTCTCTCTCTTTCTCTCTCTATCTCTATCTATATCTATCTATCTTTCATTTTCTCTTTTCCTATCTCATTCCGAGACGGCTCCGTCGCGTCTATCGTTCTTTCTACTCGGTGGAGGCAACTTCGCGTCGCGTTCGATCGGTAAAATTTCTTAGGTTATTTGGAAGAAAAGAACGTACACCCCGAGAAAAAAACACAACATGTTTATTTTCGTCTGTGTGTAAAATGTGTGAATAAAGAAAGTAAGATATAAAGATAATTGAAAAGAGAGAAGGAAATAAATAAATAAATAAATAAATAAGTAAATAAATAAATAAGCTTAAGACGAGGATGGTTCGCGCGTGAGAATATAACGATGAACTGCATCGTTTTGTGCACAAAGATAGACGGATAGAGAGAAAGCAGAGTGAGTGAGTGATTGTAGCAGTATAGTGGCCAAAATGGCGGAATCAAGTTATTATCAGGTGAGTTTAAAAAGAATCTTTTTTTTTTTTTTTATATTATTTTTAATATCGTGCCTTTTTTTCTCTTTTCTTTTCTCAATTTTATTTTGATTTTATTTACTAGTATCGATGTATTTAGATCGAAAAAGAATATTTTTGTTTATGACTCATTCATTCACTTTTTCTCAACTCTCCTTATAATATTTTACTTCTCTATCACCTTTATCTTTTCTTTATTATTTTTTGATCTTGCAATTGAAAAAATGATAATTTAAATAAAATTATAACGAGATTGATCGTTTGTTATTACAAAATGACAAAGATCAAATTTACCTTGAGTACGTAGAAAAGTATAATGATTTCGGAACACGTATAGGTAGATTGCACCTGACTGTCTCTGTCGATTCCTTTGAACTCTTTTGAAGCAACTCTAGTGACTTTCCAAAGCAAGTTCTGGTAACACCTGCTTCTCATTCTCTCGACAAGTGCTATTAAGTCTTCCTCGTTTTGTCAAAAAGTAATCTTATGATCTTTTAAATACAAAAAAAAACATCTTTTTTTTATAAATGTTTTAACAACAACATATCTTCTTCTTTGTTTTCTCAGGAAGGATCTTTTGATCTTTAACAACAACAATTTTAAATGAAAGAATAATTTTTTTTTATATTGAAACAATATTTTTTAAATATCATTTTAACGAAGAAATAATTATTTCCTTGTTTTGTCAAGAAGAATTTTATGATCTTTTAAAATATATCAAATGGAAAAAGAAAACAAAAAATAAAAAATATTAAACAAACGAATAAAAATAAACAAAAAAATAATTTTATCGTAAAATGATCTTATGGTCTTTTTTTTTTGTAAAAAAAAAATAAAAAAAATAAAAAAATAAAAAATCAGAAAAAAAGACTCAAGAAAAAATATATATAAAAAACAAAAATGTTGTTTCAACGAGGGAAAGGGTTATGTTCGAAAGGGAAGGTGTCTCGTGTGTAACTTAACAGGAAGTTTCAAGCTAAAAGATACACACACACACACAAACATTGTATATACATATATGTATGTATATATGTGTATATAATGCGTGCATGTGTGTTCACATACCACACCGGTTTTCTGATTCCGAACTTTCACGTGAAACGCGACGTCCGTTCTCGGTGTTCTTTCGAGCGTCATCGGATCGGAGCCGATCTTGGCCGAGAACTCGTCTATGTGTATTTGTTTAATAGTATTAGTTTTGTGCTCGATTCTTCTCTCTCTCGTCGGTCCATTTCCTTCAAAACGTTTCATAGATCATTTTATATAATAGCTCAGATATTTTTTTTTTATAGGAAGAAGATAATTAACGTTTTGTTAAATTATTTTTTTAATTTTTATGAAATTTTTTGTTCTATTTTTATTATTATTATTATTATTATTTCTTTTTTAATTTTTATTTTTTTCTTGTGTTTTTTTTTTGTGTTCTAACAAATAATTGCAACATTTACAAAATTTACGTTCGATAATTGTTTTGTAATCGATTCTATTGCCGATTTAATTTCTTCCAACGTACGTACGTATACAGTTTGTTTTATAATAAATATTTATGTTGTGTAACAATATAATTATAATTTTGCCCGATTACTTTTATGAGATATTTTTTTCAATTTTTCTTTTTTTTTCTCCTTTCCTTTTTCTTTTCATTTTTAACCGAATTCTTTATAGTTTTTTTTTTTGTGAGACTGGTGTTATTTGACAAATAATTGCGAGATTTATGTTTCACGTAAGAAGTTAGTTTTGTGACCAAGATTATTTTCTGCTGATTTATTTCCTTCATTCTAAATATTATAAATAATTTTTCTTTGTTTTGTACTTGTTCCGCATTAATTTTATAATCTAGATATTATTTCAAACTATGAAAGAAAATTGTTAATACTTTGTTCGATTATCTTAATCGAATTTATCATTTATTTTTTTAATGTATTCAGTTCTCGATTTTTGGTGTGTGTGTGTGTGTGTGTGAGTATTTTTTGAGAAATAATTATAAGATTTTTATATCACGTTGTCAATTAACAAAATAGTTTTATGCTAAATTTTTTTATTTGAAGATTTTTAACAAGTTAGAATTTATTTATTATTATTATTATTATTATTATTATTATTATTTTTATTGTATCATACGACGATTATAGTTTGTTAATTTTTTATGTATTTTCTCATCTTACTATAATAATGAATTCCTGTGAAATTGATAAAAAACAAACTAGTAAAGACTATAAAGACTAATAAAGTCGCCAATGATAATTAATTCATGTTACAATAATTAAATAAAATATTGTTATCGAGTTTTCTTTTCGTTATTTTTATTTTTATTTTTATTTTTTTTCCACAAAATTCTTCGATTCTTTCTTATTTTTTTTTCTTTTTTATTCTTTAACAAGATATTTGTAAGATTTATATAACGTAAAATTTTTTGTTGTTGCTTGTACTTGTCCCAGTCCAAGAAGATTTCGCAATATCGCTTTCGGCATACCTCGGAACCAACACGCAAGCCAAAAATAAAACAACGGGTCTGATGCTTGGCCCTGCGTGCTTAGCGATAACATTTTCGTTCTCGAAGCTCTCTTTCCATTGGTTGATATACTTTCATTCTAGTGGATCGTTTCTTTGAGTAGGAGAGATTATTATGAAGCTTGAGAAGTTAATTGAAGTGATTTTAACCGGTTATGTACCTATATATCATTTCATTCATATATATATTTTATTTCACATTTTCTTTCTTGTTTTCATTTTAAATTTAATATAATTTTTATTAAAAGGCTAATTAATTTCAAGTATTAACCCTCTATGGGCCCGTGTAACTTTCAAGTAACATATTCATTTTTCAGCATTTTACTAAACAATTTTAGTTTTTTTTAAGGGGACACGTCACCTTCGAGTGTAAAAAAAAGCGGTTTTTTGTGAATTTTTTTTGTAGCCAGTTTTATTAATATCAATACAAATTTTTGGTATATGTAAGTTATATATCTGAACTATATTCACATTTTTTTGTGCGTAAAAATATTGTAAATTGTGTTGTCTGTGGCCAATTTTCTAAGACATAAACAAAAAAACTGAGTGTTATCCTTTAGTAGAGATGTTGGCGCAGGGAATGAACGAAAGGAAATTTTGATTTTTTAATTTTTCTCAAAATAGTCGACTTTTTGCGAAAAAATTGACATTTTTGCAGAAAAATCCTTTCGTTCATTCCCTAGATACGTGTATCTAGTATCTAGTATCTAGTATCACTGTACAAAATTTGGTAAGGATCGGATGAATGGTCTGGACGCAGCGAGGGCCACCGTTTTAAAAACGCGAATAGGAGAAATTAACGCTTAAAGTTTTGGTAACTTGGAGCGCTACGGCGCGCTCCGTTTAAACTATTACAGTTTCGTAAATAATGCGCGGATCTTTACCAAAATTTGAAGAAATATTTTTGAAATAATATTCTTTCAGAAAATCGAAAAAAAAATCGATTTTTTTTGTTGACGTGTCCCCTTAATGAAATGTCATATACATCTTAATTTTTAAATCTTTCCGAAACAACTAATACCATATACATGACGGTTACTAGCATAGTTAGCATAAAATAACAAAATAAATGTTGTACCAACTGTCTGCAGTAGAAGCAAGCGAAACCTTTTTTTTTCAATTGATATTATTTTTGTTTCTGTCGTTATTTACCGAATAAAAAATTATGTATATAGTAGTTTTGAGTTTGAAAATCCATAAAAACTAATTTTTTTGCATTTCAAATATCATTTTAAAAATTTTTTTTTTATGATAAAGTTCTGTTATGTTGAAGTAATATTGGCCTAGAAAGAAATCTTCTGTATATTTAAGATCACGCTTTTGTGTTCCATCGAATGTTGGAAATAGTTGAAGAATTCGTTGCAGCAAACAATTCTTGACCATGTTTATCAGTTTTATGTGAGAAAAAAATTCGAAGATTCTAAAAGGATAAATTTTTACGAAAAAAATAGATAATTTAGACTGGTGGTCAATGCTTAGCTGTTATATAAGCGAAACTGTTTATTGCATTCTGTAAGACCCAGGAATCAATTTAACTTATTAACATTTAAAATTACAATTGGCATCCTGTGTATGTCAGGAGTACAAAGGATTCCGTAAAAAAAGAGGACGTCTTTTTTCCACCAATGTAGATGAACAATTATAAAGAATATAAAAAGAAGATCAAGTACAATACTTCCATCAAAAAACGTGCGAAAAGATGAAGTATATTTATATATATATTTGTTTGTAACGTCAAGTGAAAACTGTTTTGTAGAATTTCAGGCTTAAGTTTTCATACACAGAAGTTCGAATATTATAAGCCGTTGTTATCTGAAAGTCACATATTGAATATACTGCAATAAAATTGTTTAAACAAAAAATTTTTGCTTTATTTGCATATATATGTTTATAATTGCTTCTTTTTTCATTTCCCTAATTTTTTTGGATTGAAAAAAAAATTTGGCCCATAGAGGATTAATTTATTTTAATGGGAGTTTTGTTTTTCTTCTTTTCTTTTTATACATTTTTATACATTTATCAATTATTTTATACATTTATTATTTTTATTACGCAATAAAGTTTTAACTTTGTTTCAATATTTGGTTTAAAATATAGTGATAATTTCTAATTCTAGGAAATTATTGTAAACAAAAAAAGTTTTTTACTATATCATCATTTTTATCCTGGAATATACTGTACAATACTGACAACAAACGTGCATGAGATATTTATCCACAAACAGGAAACGTTTAATAATTTCGGATTACATTCAATTGGAAATTATAGATAATTATTTAATAAAATGCTAGGAAAAGGGGAGGAACCACATTAATGATTTTAAATTCATCGAAACAATTATAGTTACAACTAATAAATATATGGATTTATTTCATATTGAGTTGCAGAATTGAATGGAAAAATAAGTTGTTTTTTTTTCTATTAGGTCAAAATATTTATATAGACATAGCATAGTTTTTAAAAACACTATT